GCCAACCATTAGTCTTGCACTGATCAATCATGCTTTCTTGTATTAAATCTGAGGAGTAGTCTTGATTCTCTGTCTTTTAGCAGCAGTATCCATAGTGCCAGTCGCTCTTTTCTTGTTTCTTACCAGCACTGTCTTTGTAAATAATCTCCAGCTGCTTTATGTTGAGGTTTCTGCTGTTGTTTGCTGGTGATGGACTTGCACTCCTTTGCAATGTGTTCCATTTTATAACAAACATAACATCTCTTCTCCCTTCTGTCTATTAACCTCCTGTTACCTTTGGTAAACTCCTGCTTCTGGTCAGCCATTAATGGTTTCAATTTTAACTGGATATTCTTGGACTTGCCCATTATACTACCTCCATGGGCTTTTATATATACTGTTCTGCCAGCTTGATCATCTCCTCCACATCTTTTGGTGCTCTCTCCTTTGAGAACAGTGACATGTTGGTTGAACACATAATCATGAAAACTGTTCTCGCACCTGCCAGTCCCTCAAAACTGTTTTCACACACGGCCATGTCAGTCCATCTGGTGAAATATTGCCACAGATGTGCCACAAACTGAAATACAGTTTTTCCAGTGTCTGGTTTGTCTTCTCTGAACTTCTGGTGAAAACCTTCTTCAGAAAGTTCACATCATTTCAGTAAAGCCACTTTTAATTTGTCATAGTCCATGGCATCTTGTGACATCATGCCTGCATATACTTTTAGGCCTTCTCCTGTGAGAAGTGGATTGAGACAGACTGCCCAGTCACCTTTGTCCAGTTCTGAGTTTGGAAGAATCTTTCATATCTCTACAGGAAAGCATCCATGTCATCTTTCTGTTCATCACATTTGAGCAGCTTGGGTCATCTGGCCCTGATACCATTGTCATTCTTGGGTTATTCTTTCTTCAGTTGGGTGTGTTTTGCTATTTCTATTTATGCTTTTATTCTCTCAATTTCTAGTCTCTCCTCTCTCTCTTTTTCTTCTTTTTCAATTTGTGCTCTTATTCTTTCATTCTCAATTTCCAGTTTTTCCTTTCTCTCATTTTCATTTTCTTCTTTTTCTCTTTATGCTCTTATTCTTTCTATTTTTAGCATTTCCTTTCTTTCATTTTCTTCTCTCATTTTCATCTTTCTCTCTTTGTGCTTTATTTTATCTATCTGTAGTCTCTCCTCTCTCTCTTTTTCTTCTTTCTTAATTTCTATTCTCATTCTCTCTATTTCCTTTTCTTTTTTAGTCTTTCTTCCTTTCTTCTCTGTCTACACTCTTATCTCTCTAGTTCTTGTTGTTGTTTAACAAACTCTCATAGTTCTCTGTTTTTAACCAAAGATGCTCTCCAATTTCTACTGATTTATCAAAATTTGACATGGTTATATAGCGTGATGGTAATCTACACATTATTAGTGATACTACTACAGTTGTGTGTATACAGGCCTAATTATTTCCGCTGTCATTCACGTTTTCTTATATCGCCGTTAACCACTGTATAATCCTGGCTGTGGCTCGCCAATTGTTAATTAAAGGCTTATACTTATATGGTAAGTATAGATATATAGGTGTGTTGTAGTTGGGCTTAGGATTCTTCTACAGTAGGTAACTGTGACTTGTTGACAATAAATTCAACGATAAATGAACAATCAGCACACACTCCATTTGTTTTAAATATATATATATATATACATATATATATTCAAACTTGTTAAATGTATGTACAAGAAATTCTTTACACTATAGAGATTTTGGCATATCATATCATAAACACTACATATGTAGTTCTCTTCTTCTTGTCAAAAGTCCACTTAGGCCTATTCAATTGCTTTAAAATTTCAGTTGGCAAGCCAACCTACCTTTCTCTATGTCTATCGCACTAGTATTCTGTGCATAATTTGCTTACAATTATAGCATGAATTACCACAGTCATATACTGCTTTTCCAGTAATTGTCTGGTCTTTGTACTTCAGATATCATCTGTTCCTTTTGTCAAATGCACTCAGTCTGGTTCAATTACTTTAGAACTCACTTTAATGGAAAAAACTATACTTCTTATCTCTTTTAAAACTGTTAGTTTTCCTCTAACATATTAATCATTAGTCCTATATTAACAGTCAGGCCTTTCACTCCTATGGTAGTTAACTTTACATTTAACTTTCTTTGGCCAAACTTCTACTTCCCATGACTTTACTTTCTCATCTGCTCTGTCTGTCTATCTGCTGTTTCCACTCATGTCACACTATTTATATGTTTATCACACAATTTTCTGCCCACCTTCTAGAAATCTCTATATTCTCAACGTCAATGTACTGCACGTGACATTCGACAGTCTCAGCATCAATGAATTATAAACACAACTTCCAACAATTGTCTGCTTTTAACTCTCTTATTATAAGAAACACACTAACCAATCATAAGATATTAACTCACAAAATAAATAAATTAATAATATCTACACTAAACAGTCTTTTATATCATGACAGCATTCAAAAAATAGGTATAACAATAACCCCACTTTTATATTTATATATTTCTTTCATTTATGGTAGATAATTCTTGTAAGTTCATAAATATACTTGATATAACATTGTCAGATCTTGTTACCACAAGTTACTATAACAAAAACTTGAAGCTTGTTTTTTTTAAGTGTTCACAATTCATAAATTAATAATTGCTTGTTGTTTAGATATAAATATCATCCCATGTAAGTGACATGGTTACAAAACAACAAGATCTCATAAGACCCTAACTACAAGAAATATCCTGGGTTTCTTCCACTGTAAACATTAGATCTGATAGATCGATGAGAGGTTTCATTAGTGTGACTACTCATACAATTGAAATCAAGAAGCCTGCCATCAACCTGAGGTCGTATCTGCTAAGCTGTGACATTCTCACAGGTTCCGACACGGATGAGAAAATCAATAAGGCATTTGAAGATGTCTGTGATGAATATGTAATAAAGAACAATCTGGACTATACTATATGTGACAATGCATCAAACATGAATGAAGTGTTCACTATGTGTTTCCCTAGAACCACTGATAATGATGTAGGACCTACTAGTGTTGATGACCTTGATGATGACAGTTTATAGGAAGAGTTCCAGGAAGAAGACCAGCAAAATGTAGATATGGCACTGACCAGGAACTACCAGAAGCAATGGCTGCAATGTTTTACACACCCTGCACCTGGTGGTGTCAGATGGGCTGAAGGAAATAAAACCAATCAACCTCACCATGAGTAAAGCTTCATAATTGTGCACCTTACTGCATTTCAGTTGCTCCTTAAAGAAGCCTTTGAAAAGGTGTTTGGGTCTAACAAAGGGATTTTTGCTCTTAACTGCCTCAGATAGAACTCAACCTGAAGGCAGGTTAAAGCTATAGTATGTCTTGACCATCAGGCATTAAGCAATCTCCTGGAAGAACAAGCACATAAAGAGATAACTTTCAGCAACAGAGAAATGAAACAGTTGCAAGAACTAGTCACCATCTTGGAACTCTTCCTTGAAGCAATCAACTTGATGCAAGGAGAGCAGGTTCTCACCATAAGCCCTGTACTGCCCTGTGTGTTGTCATTAAACTATCATCTGAATGATATGTTAGTCAATGTTCAGTACCTGAATAGCCTGATCAGAGCCCTCAAAAACTCATTCACAAGAAATCTTTGTCACTGCACAAATGATGGAATCAACACAGGAAACTGCCAATTTACTATTTGGATTTCCAGTTTATCTCTTGTCAGCAGTACTTTATCCAGCATTCTGCATGATATGGATCAAACATGATGTCTTGCCATCAGAAGAGGTGAAGGACAAGGTAAAAAAACTTGCAAAAGGTAAATATTGTTACAACAGCAATAGCCATTTGAGCCATGGGAGTGTGGGCTAATTTTATGGGTGTAATTTAGTTTTTAATAAAAAACAAATGCAGAAGATAAGATGCCTAAAATGACTTATGACTTGAGACTTGGCCTTAATGATTTACGACTTGACTTGGACTTGCAAAAAACAACTTGTTACCAACTCTGGAAAACCCTGGTAAGTATTACATTTATTGTTTTTCATGTGCGTTATTTATTTATTATTATAAAAGTAACTGAGATGAAAAAATTAGAAACTTATTAGATTAGATAAAGCTAGATCAGGTAAGAGAATGTAAAATAATAACAGTAATGATATCAACTCTTCACAAAGTATGCTTGCAAGCAGCTCTTGCATAATGCAATTAAATAGAGTAATGTGAGCTGTATATCAAGTGGTCTACAACTTTCATGGCAGGATTATTAGTTAGACATAGTTCAAAGGGTAATGAAACAATAAAAGTAAGTATAAATAGATGTATACTGTTATGAGCTTTAAGGTATTTAGAATGAACAACTGTGGTTTCCTGCTACAATTTGCAGTTATTCTAGAAAGAAAAATGGGTAATTTAGATTAATTTCCTAATTTTTAGGGTGGTTATGAGGTCAGTCACATCGACCAACCCTGTATAGAGTTATGGTAGATAAAATATAAAGTTTTCTGAAAACAAAAATCTGATATTTATTTAAGAGGTTTTGGAGATTGCACAAATAGAATTTTAAAATTTTCAGATAAAGAAAAGTAATTTTAATCTTCACATGAAAATCTATTTGCACTCAAAGTAGTCAACACTAATTCCATATATTTATGGACAAATATTTAGCAAAAAGACTTAATTAAAAATTCTGATTTTTGATCTAAAAAAAAAAAAGACTTGTAATGTGGACTGAAAGCTTGCCAAATTTCGTGAACATACATTAAGTAATTTTAGAGTTATAGTATGTAGACCTTCATGGGTACAAGTTATTTACATGGTGATTAAATGGTCATGTAAAATATGCAGCCCAATGCAAAAGGGTTAACTGCATATTGGAAACTAGCACAGTAAAAACAACTGTTTATGAAGAGTGTGATAGTTTCCTTTATACAACTTGAATGATTACAATAAATTTTTCAGTAAAATGCACAATAGATAAATCTAACGAAATATGCCAAATGACTTACTAATACTTTTGTTACTAGATGTTGAGGTATCTTCTGGCATCATGTCTTTGAGTATAGAATGGGAATTAATACATGTCATCTTTCTGGTTATTACACCTTCAAAATCCACCTGTAAAAATATTTGTGAATTACTGGAAAAGTTCACAACTAAGAAATATTAACAACTTGCATGAAAATCAAATACAAAACTTGTGGAAAATACCATATATTTTAAAAAGCAAATAAATCCATGAAAAAGAAAAGTATTGATAATAATGCAGTAAAATAATCAACTTAAGAGTGTCAAATCCAATCAATGTAATTTACTTCAGTATAAGCTTAACAAAGTTGAACTAGCTGTAATATTTTAAAGTCAGGTGTAATTAGTCAAGTGACTGTTCATTTTAAGGTTTATTGGGGAAAAATAGTTATGGCAGCCATACTTTAGATTTCAAGTTAACTCTCTTTCTAGTCTGCATATACAAAGTGAGTAATTCAAGTTTATTTTTGGCTACATACACAACATTGAAAATAAAAGTGTATATTACTTCTAGCTACATATATAAAGTTGAGAATGAAATGTATATTACTACTGGCTGCATATATAAAGTTGAGAATGAAATGTATATTACTACTGGCTGCATATATAAAGTTGAGAATGAAATGTATATTACTACTGGCTGCATATATAAAGTTGAGAATGAAATGTATATTACTACTGGCTGCATATATAAAGTTGAGAATGAAATGTATATTACTTCTAGCTACATATATAAAGTTGAGAATGAAATGTATATTACTTCTAGCTACATATATAAAGTTGAGAATGAAATGTATATTACTACTGGCTGCATATATAAAGTTGAGAATGAAATGTATATTACTTCTAGCTACATATATAAAGTTGAGAATGAAATGTATATTACTACTGGCTGCATATAAAGGTTGAGAACCAAGTACAAATTTTTTCTAGTTACATACACAAATTTTAAAATGAAAGTGTATGAGTTTTCTAGCTACATATACAAAGTTGAGAAGTATATATATTTCTTATGGCTACATATAAAAAATTGAAAATAAAAGTGTATATTTTTTCTGGCTACATATACAAAGCTGAGAGTTAAAGTACACAAACTTAAAATTTCTACTAACTTTTGACAGTAGGAGAAAACAATTAGCCTTATAGTTAATAATGTTAGCACTTATAAATTAATAAATGGAAACAGAAACAATATTGCAACCATTTTTACTTTACTTTAATATATTCCTTAGTCAGGTTAGCTTCATTTGTTATATGAATAGAGCTCTACATTAACTTTTCAAGAAACTAATCCATTCAGACTATTGATCATATTAGGGTTAGTCACACAGAAAGGTGTTTGTTGATAAAACATGTACACAAAGTATGCATTTCATTCAAGACTTGTCAGCTACAAATACACTTATAGAACCATTACACTGTTCAAAAATCTACAAATTGTAAATGATTACTATACAATGTTTAATTTTTTTGATAAATAATTAAACAGCTTAAATATTTAAGTGTAACATACATGTATCAGAAGATGATTTTGAATTGTACAATATCAGAATTGTAGAGTGTTTAAAACAACAAACAGAATTATGCTGATGTCGATCACCAGAGAATGAAAATAATTTTTTGATTGGCTGTAGTTATGTCTCTGCAGAGATACATACTGTTTTTCTATTGTTTCTTCTTCTTCCAAACACTATTCAATCAACCTACATTTTTTCATTTCTAGGCAGATTAACTTGAAACTTGGTAGGGTTATACCTTGCTCCAATACAACCAGACTTTTCTTTTTTTTATTTAAGCCCTTTTAAGGATTTTTTTGGGTCAAAGGTAAATCAACCTAAAAATATTTACAGTAATCAAAATGAAAATTGGCAAAATAAAAATTATCACACACCCACCACACTGATGTACAAAAAAGTCGGACTTGCCCATTTAGAAAGGTCAAGATGCCACAAAAAGCATAATTTTAGGGTTTCTGACAATTACTCTGCTATATTTTGGCCAATTTACATGTGATTTGGTATAAAAATACTTTTTTACAGGTCCCATACATATACATACTAAATTTGTGATATGCCCATCTTTAGTCTTTTTTTTGGGGGGGGGGATCAAAAGGTTAAATAAACCTGTAATTTTAGGGGTTTTGGTTATTTTCTTAGCCTTGTTTCAAACAATTTACATAGAATTTGGTACAGAGATACTTTTCTGCAAGCAACACACACACTGACAAACAAAAATGTTAGACTTCCCCATTTGAAGTAATTATAAGGGGATTATGATGCCACTAAAAGCATAATTTTTGGGTTTTTTGACAATTACTCTGTGGTATTTCAGGCAAATTACATGGGATTAGGTAACAAGATACTATTTTACAGGTCCCAAACAGAAATGTAGACAATTTTAGTATTTTTGTCTTTTGCTTAATTTTTTTTTGCAAGGACAACACAATTTGGGGTTTAGATGAACTATTCATGTGTATGTCAACCAACTTACATGGGATATGGTACAAAGGTACCTTCTTGCAAATCCAAAGCAGTGATACAGACAGTTTTAGATTTTTCTAGTGTTAAAATTGACCATGTTGGGGTTGTGTTGAAGAGACATGTTGCATTCACCCACACATGTTGCCCTCTTTAAGTTCCTTTTCTGTTTTCAGAAGTAAAGAATTTGAACAAACAGTGTTTGAAAAACTAACATCACTGATACTCAAAATTAAGCCAAGGCAGCATCCAGCCAAAATGCTTTTCCTGTACTATCAGGCTAAGGTTGATGTTGAACCTTGAAGTATACTGCACTGTGTTCAGAGCCATAGCAAGATAGTGTTTAGGATGATTATAAATTAAGCCTATTAAATCTTAAATTGTCAAAAAAGAAAAGAAAGAAATTACTGTAGTTTTTTCTGTTTATATAGTTTGTTCATTAAGCATACAATGTGTATATTACTTTTCTCCAGAATTAAAAATATATTTTTTGTTTTATCCTGAACGTTATGTACCTCTAGAACAGGTCTGCAAAATTACATTCACCAATTTTCCCTATCTTTGATTCTAGAACCACATGAAGTTTTCAATTAAATTTTTCAGTATCTCCAAAAAAAATAAAAACATTGGTGCAAGTATTCTTTTTCTTAATAGTTTAAATGTAAATAGAAAAATCCAATGTGTATATTTTTAAAATGTAATTGTAAAAAAGGAAAATTTGCTTTAAAATGATTACAAAATAACCTGTATTTCTCTATTATTTGGTGTTATGATAAGCGACTCAATAAATACTCATATCAATTGCAGTAGCAAATGCTGGACTGAGAATTTGTATAGCAAGCATATATCTGATGATGACAAAACCTTGTCAAAACATTGTACATTTGCTGTTATGTTAAACTTATATTAAAGTTTTTCTTCATTACCCATTCAAGCCGTCTCCAACCATTATTAGATCCTTACTTTATCTCTCACACATTTTAGATTATATACTAATCCTAGCACTAGCAGCATGAAGGAATGAATTCAAACTGCAGCTTACTTAGCTGAAACAGTTAACTCCTTTTTCTTTGTAAATAGTTATTATTGAAGTGAATGCCACGTAAGTGTTGAGTGAGAAAGAATACTGATAAATAAAAAATATATTCTTATATTCTTCAACAGGTCATTTTTTCTTCCAGAGTTCATTTTGCACAGCTGGGCAATTACACAGTAACGAAATTAGAATTCACAACGATTTTTGGAATTTGGTTACGAATGCTGAAGCCCAGTTTGTGTCTTGAAGAATAACTTGAGTAGGCTGTGGAAGTACAAACCCTTCCCTATAATAAACAGTTGTATTCATCAAAAATCCTAACATATGGGTGAAATAATGATTGATTTTATTTTGGTAATGGAATTACACAGAAAATTTCAAAATTGTTTCTAACAAATGTCATGACATTCCATCCAAATCTTTTAGCCAAGTGAAGCTGATGGTTGGCATAACAACGTAGAGATGGATAGTGACTAATTCATGGAAGGAGGTTTGGTCCTGTTATATACACTGTTTGTTTAAACTTAGCAAATATAGTTCAATAACAGAATGGTAACAGAATTACCTGTCTGAATATATATGTGAATAATACATTAAATATTACCTCAGAATACTTGTTCTTACACCTATGCACTCAGAGAACTGTATTTTTCTATTTTGATACTACTTCAAGCCTAGTGCTAGTATGTGGCATAGAAAAGAGAACAGATTTATGCACATGTACTTAGGCCAACTCAACTCCATCTGAAAAGCCAATTCTTAAACATCTATCCATCTGTGATTCAGTAAGTACTTTGATTACACTGGACCTGTCAAGAGAATCTACATCATCAATGTCAGGCCACACCAACTTGCCAAATTCCACCTTTTTCAAGAATGTGATGGTGACTTTATTGTCCTGAGTTTTAAGAATCTGGCCAATAAATATCTTGGCATTCCTCTGGACAGAGTATTTGACAACCGCACACTTCAAGTTAAGATTTTTAGGCAAAGATTCTGGTTTGTTGTCAAGGTTGGCTGTAACATCTATTTTCACTACATAGTCTTCTTCACCATCATCATCAATGTGATCACCACCATCAGCATCTTTACCTTTGAAGTGGTGCCTTGTGGGAGGAGAATTCGCATGGTGCTGCACATTTATGACAAATGGTGTAACCACGGTGACTGCACCCATTTTGGGTTAGGGATGAGAGATATCTCATTCTAGTCATCATCCAGCTTTTTATTTCTGACAACCTCAACTTTGCTTATGTATTTTATTTAAATATTCTGGCATTTCTTGGCAGCAGCATCAGCAAATTCATCGTATGTTGTTACCTCTGCTTTGCCAGACATCACTTCTGAGGAGACAAATCTTTTTGTGGTTCCACCAATGCCATCTACTGGACCATTGCCATGAGAAGCAGCAAAGCAATTACACTCTGTATTTCTGTTTAACAGTGTGATGCTCGAGACAAGGAAGCATTGTTTAAATGAATTTGATGGACCATCCGAAAAAAACAACTACTTTCTGAAACTGATGGACAGTTGAAATTAAATGTTGTAAGATGGCCGTGAGTATGATGTTAACTGATATTTGCAGGTAATCAGAAACTATCACCATTGAATGTGTTCCTCTCTACTCTAAGGCACATACAGTGAAAAGAGTGACCTGATTGTAAGCCTCGTATGCAGACTGAATTTCATTTTGAGTTTTTGTGGAGAAATTTTCCACAAAGTCAACCTGTATAACAACTTAGCAATAAAACACTTCTATATAGTTCTATTGAACACTCACTTGATGTGTTGGTGTGTTTACTCACCTTATGAGTGGATGTTGTGTGATTTAAACTTATGCAGATAAAATTTGTCTTTTGTTTTAAGAAGCATGGAAAAAGAAAACTGTTGCCACTCTCTATTACACACACTGAAGTTAAGTTAAAACAATGCCTTCATTATCAGCACTGACCTCTGGAGCTAAAACTGTGAATTAGGTTCTATTACAGTAAGCTTACACAGCAAGAGAAAATCCCATGTAATTCTGTTACCAGGGTTTCTACAAGATCAGAGAAGACCAACTAAAAGTGAGTGATCTAACAGGTTACTGAATAGACTTAATAAAATAATTTTCAATAGGTTTTAATTCCAACCAATAGTTAGCCCACAGGAAAATTTTTATGACCCTTTTTGGTAACAGACAAAATTATGAAAATATGTCATTGCCCAAGGCAAAGTATGAAATTTACAGTACAACTGATTTCTGTATTTGAGTTTTAGGGTTCATGAACTCAAATAATAAGCAAAAAAGGAATAACTAGAAATGGAGGTAAGGGGAAGAGGGAAGGGTTTTGCAATGATAGCCTTTTTTTACTTCTTTCTAATGCTAAAATTGCACTCCAATAGAAGTGCTATTTTTCAAGAAAATGAACCAACAGCAATATAAATTTGGTATGGAATCAAATTCTACACATTTTTACATCAACAGTGAAACTTTTATGTAGTTTTATAAAGATTTAGTATTTGGTGATTAATGCCCTCTGCAAAGAAATTGCCCAGCTTAGTTCACAACTGAAATTTAGTTTGGCCCTAATTCCCCTAAAAATCATTACTGAATTACATAGAACAAAATGTGATGTGGTGAAGTATGAGCCAAACTGCAAGTTCAGTTTTACAACATATCAATAAAATAAATCAATGCAAGACCAAACTGCTTTATTTTGCAGTTTGTAAGATATCACCTACTGTTTGAGCTAAATCATAATTTAGTTTTATTCTTTTTTTTTTGCTCAAGCATTTTTGGATGGGTCATAATTTTTTAGTTCAATTGTAAAACTTGTTAACAATTGAAAACATTCAACTTCAATTAATAATTATAAACAAAAATATTTACAAGTGTATATAAGACATAACATATTAAATACATTATACCTATTGTTTGTTTTTATGCACAAGGATACACAATGGATTATCTGCACTGCACCCACTATGATATTATTACTGCTAAGCCTCAGTTGTCTGTCTTTAAGCACAGAGTTACACAATAAATAAAACTAAAACCACTCAAGTTTAGCCCTAAGTCAGCCTCAAGGGAGATATTAAATCTTTGATATTCTATTTTGCATTATTCCAAAACAAACTTTTAAAATCAAAAATCCTACCTCAATGAATTTAGTACCACAAAGAAATTTTTCAGATTCCAGCCTGAAATAGGATGTGTCAAACCCAGCACCCAGAGAAATAATCTAAAATAAACAAAAACTGGTAGTGAGACATTTCTAGTTTAGAACTCTCAAATACACAGATTAACAACTAGACACAAAACTATACTAATGAAATAATTTAATTTAACTATCTACATTCCACCCCCATTAGAACTGGGTCATGCAATTTTTGCACATCCTAATGAGAATATACAAGATTGATACAACTACCTTAATGAAACTACAACAGTAAACATACTTTATCCAGATTATTGCAGTACACATATCTTAATGATACTAGTATACATACACGGAAAAGACCACTGTAGTACATACACCTTAGTGAGACTATTTTAGTACACATACTTAAGTGATACTACAAAATTCACATATGTTAGTGAGACTATTGTATGTCTGTTTGCACATACTTTAGTGAACCTACTATAGTGCAAATACTGCAACACTATATCCAAGTACCTTGATAAGGCTACTGTAGGACTATGTACACATATCTTTGAGAGACTACTAGATCACTATGTAAATACATACTTTGATAACACAACTGTATTACACGTACATGGATGAGACTGCTGTAAAACTATGAACACATATCTTAATGAGATTACTGTATAACTGGGCAAGCATACCTAAATGAAACAACTGTAGGCCTATGTACATATATCTTAATGAGACTACTGTAACACTATGTATACATGCCTTAATGAAACAACTGCAATATGTATACTACGTATACATACCTCAATGAGACAATTGTTACACTATGTATACATGCCTTAATGAAACAACTGCAATATGTATACTACGTATACATACCTCAATGAGACAATTGTTACACTATGTATACATGCCTTAATGAAACAACTGCAATATGTATACTACGT